AATGTACCGCGTTATAATTAGGACTTTTGTAATTACAGGGTTTTTAAAACTGTAATTACAAAAGTCCGTTCTGTCGAACTATATACACATTATTAGAATTTAATCTTAACCGGCAATTACCAGTCGTACCAGTGACTCAAAAGTTGGATATTAATAATATAATAATTCCTGTATAGAATTCCTATATGTAGGGTGTATTCTGTTAAAGTTCTCCTTTGACTGGGATACATACTTCAATATGTATGCACGTAGTCACGCGATAGCTCTGTGAAACAAAAGTAATAATGTAGTGATGTTATATTTATGTATAATTAATTATGTGAATCAGTCGATCAGGCAAACAAAATAGTGTTTAGCCTTTTATAAACGTAGATATACAAATGTATAATTTTATCTATTCTGTACTGTTAGAATTCCATTAAATATCATTCGATATCAGAAAACTACCGTGTAGTGTTAGAAAAATACTGTCAAATTGTTTTCATTCATCTGAATATCGGCGCCATGCATCGGGAATGGTAGTTGTTCGAATGTTTCAAAATGAAATAAAAAATATCTAAAAATAAGGCAAAGCTTTCACTTCACGTAAATTCTCTCATGGTCTTGTCTATAAATAACGTAGTTTATTTACGTTGCCATTTGTTAGTTAGACGTAGTTTTCGCTAACTAATGCTTTGAATTAATGATAAAACGAAATGTTTCCATGCGTTTCAAAACAATAGAACATTTCGAGTCAAATCATTTGTCAAACCATTTTGCAGACATAAACAATGTTATACTATTAATCAAATGAGGGAACGTTGTATTTGTTTTAATTTACTTTATTTAGTGTTATTTTTTGTTAGTTTTAACACAGTAAAGCTCGGTGTTGCGATTATTTTACAGCGCTTGAACTCCCATGGACTAAGAAAATTTATTCTTAGATAACAACCAGCGTTCAACGGCTTAACGTACATTCTAAAATGCGGAAATGCTGAGCCATAAATGCCGCAAGCAATCCAAATTGTTCCCCGTTCGCCGTAAAATATTCTGAAAACAGTAATTGTAAGGCGCTGTTATGACAATTTCAAAATTTTGTCTTACTTGAGTCGTAATACAAGCATTAAAAGGTAATTTGAATTGTGTTAACGGTAATATTGAACAAGAACTTTGAAGTGAACTTAAGTTCAGTTTTTTTTTAAATCATAATATTCTTTGTCTATACAAAAAAGTTGAAAAAGTAAAAGTTAATGAACTATATTTAATTTATGGTATGTGGTCTTATTTATTTCTGCTTTGTATATTTAAAATCGAAGCAAAATAAATGCAAACAAACGTTTGATTTGACGATAAAAAATCCTAAATTTAAGTTATTTTACAATAGTCTATATTGTATAAATAACAGATTTTTGAAGAGAGCCCTAATAATTGTCTATTTTATTTAATTAATTAATTGCTATTTTAATAAATGGCTAATTTTACCAAAGAAACGTTTAAACAGTATTAAATTCCTGTTAACCTAAGTTAAATGGTGCAGACACTGCGTTTTAAATTTCAAGCACATTTAAGTAAATTTTTTCGACCGTGAATGAATGCACACGGGTAATTAACGAACTTAGTCTTCGGGAACACTAAATTAGCATTTCAAAAACTACTAGAGTTAATATAACAATTATTTTTATTCAAATGAAATATTTTCATAATTACATTCCTGTAACCTTAAATTGATCCGTAAATTTCACAATCCCATTCTCACTTTGAGAAGCAACAAGCAGAGAGAGCAAATTAAAAATGTTAACTTATTCAAAATTATGTTGTACGGAAATACTAACTTTAAGAATTCTATGCCAAATAGAGTTAGTTCCTCGTTCAGAGTTTAATTCTCGAACCCCATGACCGATATATTGTCTCTTGAGGCACATCGACCCTCCGGGAAATGCCTATATCGGCTCGGACAGAATGGCGATAAAGTTAATCTAAAACTTCTTCCTCTATCATAAACAAAGGCGACTTTAATACAAATAAGTTTAAGCAATTTAATCTAACTTGTACTAATTGTTTCTGCCATCGCATCGCTAAGAAAACGAATTTATTCTCGTAGGGACGGTTATATAATGAGCATTTTGTATGTATTGGACGTCGGTTTCGCCGTCCCATCGTCCCCCCTAGGCTCAGACAATACAGGCAGGGGCAATATCTTCTGCGTGTAAGAGCGCCATAAGTTGGACACATTCAGATGCACGAAACCACGTAGGTGTGGATGCGGTCCTTTGTCAGCGCGGTCGAACCTTCGAAACGAACCACGAAGGTTTCAAAAGGTGGCAAAACAAAATTTAATTTTAATGGGTAATGTTGCACACCCACAACTTGACAAACATTAGGCCGTGTTTTTGTCCCGCTTCAAAAGCCCCCACATTTACTCTAGTCAGACTACAACTACCGATTGAGCCGAGGCCCTCTCATGCACCCTTGAATCGGAAAGCTTAACCTGTTTTAAGTAACAGCCCAAGCCGAGTCCCCTTTCAGAGGCACTTGAGCCTAGTTACTCCATGGGGCGTTCGCCAAAGCGACTTAAGAGCTTGGTGGCCTCCCAAATCGGTAATAATAATAAAAGCGTGACAGCTCGAGCCGAGGCTCTCTCGGGAGCCCCCAGCATTAGGCTAGGCGCCTCCAGCGTTCAGTAGATCTGTAAAGACCTCATCAAGGCCAACAGTGGACGATCCATTTAAAAAAGCTCCCACATTGCTTACAATGCAGCATTTTGGTCCATCCTAATCGTTTGGTAGATCGGTCTGCACACTAGGTGCTCTTAGTTGTAACTATGGGTCTAACTATGGTCTGTTTTTAAATCTATTAACGCATCTCCAAACCGTCAGAAGTTGTAGATGAAGATGGGCAGCGTTAATCACTTAACATAAGGAGAATCGTGTGCTCACTTGTCAAGTTTTCACATAAAGAGGTAACTGTAACTTCATGTAACGCTTCACTCTAAGTTTTCTGCGTGCTAAATCTGTGAAGCAACTTGGAATATGCTTTTAAATACGACACGAGATTACAGTTAAAGAGCCGTATATTATAGTTTTGCATATTCACACTTTGATCTGATATTATTATTATTATTATTTTTATGTGAAAAGTTGTCAAACGAGCAGACGGTTTACCTGATGTTAAGTGAATACCGCCGCCCATAGACATCTGCTACACCTGAGGGTTTGCAGATGCGTTGACAACCTTTTGAAAATTGGGCTTCGGTCACCTCACTCGCCAGACGAAACGCGAAAGTATTATACTTTCACTTTACGCCTGTCTTCTGTGAGGTCGTGGTACTTACCCGGACGAGCCTGCCCATTCGTGCAACAGCCGAGGCTGCTGCGTGGCCCTACCACCGTTAAATATTACCGTTAAATGTACAGATATTAGCCTTTGGAGTTAGAATATTTGTGGAAGAATCTGACTGAGCTAAGGCGGGGATGCATTATTTGGAGAAATACTAAGGCGTCATAGAAAACGTGAGAATGTTATTATACTTCTGCCTTTATTCACAGCATACGGAGGAGGAGGAAAGGTCCTTTACTCTCCATCTTTTTATCATGTTAATGACGATTAAACAAAACTTGATTCGACGAAACAATCAATGAGTTTATTTTAGGTCTAAAATAAATGCATCTCTTCATTTTTTATAGAGAAATAATACATTATTCCTATTGCGAATGGGCTACATTTGTCAAAAAACACAAGAATAGAAGCTTACTATGAAAACGACGCATAAAAACTCTCAGAGTGATATGTCCTAAAGGAAACCATAAATCACGATAAGGGATACAATTTGCCACAACTTAAACTTTTGTGGTCTCATTTTCCTTGTATGTCATAATTTAATGTTAAGCGTTTTTAAAACTCTTTTTCAATTTAAAGTAACGGCCTTCTTAGTACACTAATCAACATAATCTTAAACTCAGAAACTGTGACAATCATTTTCGTAAAATCCGCTTTAAAAAGTTTCGGTCACTAACAAAATTAAGACAAAATAAAAGCATGATGATATAGTAATTACTAAAACAATGTTAGGCTTTAACATTATCACAATATTGAGTGAATTCCTGCCTATAGGTTATTTTTGTTAAAAGTTTCGTAATTACTGAATAGACTGACTTAAATCTGTTTGGTATCTACTCCTTGTAATTTTAGTTTCAGTCTAATTAAAGTTAAAGATTGTTTTTTTTTATTGCCAAACCTGCAGCACACGTGTGTGCTCCTGCTTCCGCACCTCTCCCGCATCCAGGGGCTCATCATCATCCCGTGAAGAACGGATGCGAGTATTAACTAGCGTATCCATCACTACCAAGACGTCCAGTGGAGGAAACCGAGCTGGAATAGTACCGTCTCAAAGGATATATAGTACGATGTCCTCGTGCGATCCTGATGGTGGCCGTCGCTGCAAGTCTGCATAAACAGGGAGGCTTTTCTAAGTGTATCCACTTTTTTTTATTAAATTCTAAACATAAATAATATTATATAAAAATGATGATTATTTAAAATCACTCATAATTAATTAATTGCATTCATTTGAACTTATCTCAAAAAGTGCGTAATTTATGGGCAACACATTTATTTTTCACGCGATCATTCATAACAAACACGCAGACAAGTTTGTTTCAAAAGTATACGACGCATCTATGAATGACTACCGCATTGTCAACAAGTTCTGTTTTTTAGGGAATAGAATTGAAATATTTTTGGATAAAAAGTTTGTTTTTATTTCAATAAACAATTCGAATCCTGTGTGAATTTGGGCATCTTTAGAAAACTCACCCTGTGTATATACTTCTGCTTATAGTCATGTCTTATTTCTGCTACGTCAGACGCCCGTTAGTCGATGATACCATACGGGTGCACTATACAGAGCCATCAATTGCACGACCCCTGCATAGTGGCATCGGACTCCTTCCCTGGGGAATTATAATGCATCGCCTACGGCCCGGAAAACGTAAACGTTACTTTAGTTAGCATACGCATTAAGGATGGTACGCTTTTATAAAAAAAATGGATATGGATATTTATTCTAACGTGCCCATTTAATCATCTTTATGTATAAATAAAGGATAGCTAAAACTTTATCTAATATCGTCACATTTAAGAATTGATCAACTTTTCTCTGAACGAAGTTTGGAGTAATACGTTTCTCTGTAGCCCCGAATTGCTTTAAATGCGGATGTGTGTTTGGTGATGAAGTTTTGTGGCAAATTTTCCATCACATATAGAAAATGTGCACACAAATCTCTCTATCTGTTGAAGTAATTTATTAATATATACTAATGATACGGTAGTGTTGAACGCGTATCCGTAATTACCTAACGAAAATCAATTTATTCTATCTATCATAGTTTTTGCTAGAGGTTTACGCGTGTTTTTCTGCTTTATCAATTACACGGAAGAAATGAGTGGGAATTTGTCATTGTGAGATTAGAGGAAAAAGCATTAAATATCTGCAAATAGAACTGCTAATATGCAATAATATATATATATATATATATATATATATATATATATCATAATAAATCGTGAGAAAATGTGCAGTTCTAAGTTTATCTTTAATAAAGACTTCCATCCACTGATCATATCAGATCTTCATATACCTCGCCTCATCCCTGTTATCTTTTTTAAACTTTGAGCTAACGCACTCATGCGTGACCGAAAGTAGAGGCCGTATTTTCAAACTCATGGGTTCTGGCTAGCCCACGGGTCTACGGACTGAAAGCGCTAATATCAGTCAACGAAAGATGAAAGATTGCTTTTTTATTTTTAAAACGAAATGCTAATAAATATTTCCATGGTGCATTTTACGCAATTGTTTAGTTGTTATTGCGCAGAAAGTTTAATCCTCTCACAGAGAAAACATTTTATAAATCCACAAATAATTTACGCATTCATAGTGTACGTTTCAATAGTTTATGTGAACCCCTATTAGTGGTTTAGATTTAGCATGCTTGCATTACTAAATAGGTGATTTTAACTAAATAGGTGACAGTTTCAAACCATTAATTATATTTTATGTTACAAGATCATTTATCTTGTAACATTTATGTCGGTATCTAAACATCCAATTAGTTAATTAGAACATAGACGTCAGACCTTGTTTGGTACATTATTAGACACAATTGCCAATGACTAGTGTGCGGCGGGTTCATAAGTGATCGTACTGATGTAGCTACCTAAAATGACTTTCCATATTATTTACATTTATATCTACACTGTATAATGGTACTTCCTTCAAAATTTGCTGTATTACACTGGATCCAAAATTGGGACAATGATTTATAAATATATTTTTTTTATGGAGAAAAAGGGAAAACGAGCAGGAGGCTCACCTGATGGTAAGTGATTACCGCCGCCCATGAACACCTGCAACAGCCGAGGGCTCACAAATGCGTTGCCGGCCTTTTAAGAAAGAGTATGCTCTCTTCTTGAAGGTTCCCAGGTCCCTTTAAACCAGTCCCAGTGACTAGACCTAGAATTATTTAAACTTTACCTGATATGAAACACTTCACAATATTTGTATTTGAAATAGAATCGTTAGTATAGCGAATAACGTGTTCCTATTTAAATGTTGCTAAAATAACATTTAAGTTCCTATTGTGGTAATTTCAAGTCAGAATGTGAAATAAAATAATTTTAGGAAAAATGCTATTATATCGAAATAATTACGTTGGCAGCTGATGGCGCGCTGTGATATATTTCGAGTCCAGCACCGGACATCAATTTGTGATATCTATAAATAAAATAATTCAGAGTACAGGTATACTCTATGATCGTAATTGCGTTGAATATGCGATATGGGAGTCATCCCCTAGTACGGGCATCGTAATAAAAATAAAGAAAAATAGCATTTTAATTCAGATTCTTCTTCTAATTTCTCCTGCCCTTATCCCACACTAGGTGCAGTCGGCACAACATGTCCTTTCGTTCCACTTTCGTCTATCAGCCGTCATCTCAATACTGACCATTTCCACAGACATATCATTCTTCACACAGTCCAACCAAATCTTTCTCGGTCTTCCTCTTACTTTACACCCTCCAACTCATAATGTGCCCATACCATGTCAACCTATCCTTATTTTCTCAGTCAATGGGCCACTTTCAAGCTTTCTCTGAAATGCTCATTGAGTATATTATACTTTCTGCTTACACCACGCATCCATCTCACCATTCGCATCTCTGCCACATTGTATTTTTGTTTGCTGCCCAACATTCAGATCCATACATAATGACAATCTCAATCAAATCTCAATCAATCTCAAATCTCCCCTTTTAGTTTTAGGGGCATTCACGAGTCACATGTAAGTCCTGAGACCTGTCGCCATTTCACCCACCCTGCATTACAGCTCAGCGGTCAATGCCGCCGTCATTTTGAACCAATGAGTCGAGATATTTAAAATTGGAGCAGACTGGAAGATTTACACATATTAATGCTATATGTGAGAAACTGGATTTGCCACCGAAATCGCAAAACAGGTGTTCTGTTTTGTAACCTATCTTTAGGCCAACGCTTTTCAGTTTCTCTCGCCAGCCGGGGTTCAGAGTAGTCTTCCAGTCTTCTGCTTCGGCGGCATCTTGTCCACCAAGCGCAATGTCGTCGGCAAATAGCATACACCAAGGTGCCTCCTCCTGTATGTTCGATGTCAGTGCATCCATAATCAGGAGGAAGAGATAAAGGCTTATTGCCGATCCCTGATGTAAGCCTACAGCCACATTGAACTTGGTAACGCTAGCTTCAGACCGGACTTGTGTACAATAATTCAGATTATCGTAAGTTATATATCGATGACTACTTTTTGCAGTAATTGTACATACCTAGTATAAATATGTTGTGTTATTATCGCAAAAAATACATATTTTCAAACTTTAAGTCTATATTATTTCAAAACATGGCTTAGTCGTGTATATATTACTAACGCCAACGAGGAAATGTCTCATTATACGCATGAAGTAACAGAGTCATTGTAATAATCGGGATGGAATTTGTGTCGACACAGAAATAGATTGAAATTTCTTAAATTTTACATTTTTGTAAGGTTTTATTTTGACTCGTTAATGATATTATAAAATAATAAAAGTTTCTTTTAAATGGGTCTTGTAAATTGAAAATAATTAAGCAAATCAAAACTAAAATTGTAAAAGTTAACGTCGTTCAAAGTATGATAATTGGTTCTTGAGCACCAATCTTTGTTGATCATTTGATGCTCGATTTCATTTTGTTAATCTTGAATAAAGTCAAATTCAAACTATTTTTTTAATAATGCTGCAATTTGACCCCATTCAAGGATACTTTTGTTATTTTTATTTTTTTGATTTCCATTGACGTTTTACCATTCAAAATAACTTCAGCTTTTCAAATCCACTTTTTGAACATTGGTCTCCTAAGCCATTTTATTCAGGGTTATTTTAATACAAAATATTCAGTGATTAAGGGTTTTTGAAGTGGAATATGAAGATATCATGAGATTGATAAATATATACCAATGCATGTTAAAAAACACACTTTAAGGCTATTTCCTACAAAACCCTATTGCTCTATAGTTAAGTAGTGGTTGAGAACAAATATATTTTCAAAGTTATAAACGATTCTTGAAGTAGTTACAGAAGCCAAAAGTTTTTGAACAAAGTACCGAGCAGTTATAAATTAACTGATAGTTGCCGCTGTGATAGGAGAGTTACCCCATGTGGCCATTAAGGTTTAACAGCGCTTTACGATGAAACTTTCTATTCAAATGCACGTAATATGTTTGCATACATAGTGACTCACTAAAATAGTGACATCAACTTCTTGTTTTACAGTGTTAAATATATAATACATAACTGTCTTTTGTTCCAGATGTTTTTGCGAGTGGCCCTCTGTCAATATCAGTAATAAGCACTATACGAAGCCTCCGACGTGTTAAGTTGTAATTGAACCGTTGAATAGCGGACAAGAAGCTCGAAGCCGATGTGGATGGGTGCATCGAAGAGGCGGATGGATTAGCGTTGGCGGGGGTCCGTTGAGCGTGGATGGTGTTGGTCGGGCGCTGGGGATGGCGGCGCGGCGCGGGCGGCGGGCGGGGAGCGGGCGACGGTGAGGAAGGCGGGGGCGGGTGTGATGCGCGCACACGTGGCGCTGTTCGTGGCGTGGTGCTGCGCGGTGCTGGCGACGGGGGCGGCGGCGGCGGCGGGGGAGCTGCGCGTGCTGCGGGCGGACGCGCGCGCCGTCTTCTTCGTGGGCATCGCCGCGCCGCCCTCTGCGGCCGCCGCCGTGCGCGCGTTCAACCGCTCGCTCGCTGATATCTCCCGAACGCACTTCGCCGGCGACTACCCGCTCTACCTACGGAACATTACGCTGCAGCCGCTCTATATCGAGCTGCCCGAAGATGAAAGGTGAGAACGTATATCGACGTGTTTTGGTAATCGTCATGACCATTTCAGCCCTTTAGGGCTAAGCTACTACTGAACATAGGTTTCTCTGACTTGTGGCGGTCTGTAGAGGAGACAATCACGATCCTGGGCCACCAACCAATGACTTCTCGCACATTTGCACTCCATCAGGGGTGATTCTACCCTACGATGGCCAATACCGTTAAGTAATATCATGGTTATAGTAACGGTTTGGCTCAACCTTTGTATTACGTACCTCGACCAGAAAAATCGCTTTAATGATTTTTCGATTCATGATCTTTCGTTTTTGTTTGTTGTGGGGGGTAACGAGAGCTTACTCTTTTGATGTACTACCAAGTAACATTACAATAACATTACATTCTTTACAACAACACAGTCCATGGGATAAACAATCTGTTATTTCCTCATATATAATAGTTAAATAAAATTTGTAAATAAAAAAAATATATTCATTTGGGTGTTCCGCTCAGACTTGATTTATAAGCGAATCAGATTCAAAAAGAGTTTTGTATGCAAGTTTTCCCATGGAAATGTGATATCATATTAGAAAATTAGATAATATACAATGCGCAAAACAATCAAGGTACTCTCGAAGGACCCCACTTTTTAAGGGTGGTCGACGTATCATCAAGCCATCGGGTGTTGTAGATGTCCATACCACGACCTCGGGTGTTAAACTTTCGCATTTCGTCTGGTGAGCGAGGTGAAGGGAGGTATTCATTAACATCAGGGTGGGTGAACCGGTATTCATTTCTGCTCGCTCGTTTCGCAACTTTTCACATAAAAAAGAACCACATACTACACACCACTGGAAGCATTACAGACGGAGCATGGAATTTAGGGTGACGATTAACGGAAAAAAAATATTGCGGTTTAAATTGCGATGCTCGAGGCAGCGCGTCGCGTAAACATTGCGTGGCGGCATTTATATGCCTCTGACACAGAAGCCTACTCAAAAAAACTCTGGCCGTTTCGAACATTCTATGTAAGGAATATTAACTTTCGGGGAGAGTAAATTCCTACCACTTTTTCATTAGAGATAATAATCATCCTCATGTTCGTATGTAATTTACTGTCCCTTGTGATAAAATAATTATTACTTATCTCAAAATTTTCGTTTTAATTGCTGTGTTAGAGTAAAAACAATTAACCCCGTAAATTCTTGTTTAAAAACAACCCGTTACTTCGTTATTTATGCTGAAATAGAATATAATAACAAGGCCTGCTTCTATTTAACTGTACCATTTAATATGGTAACACCACCAAGTGTAGTTTTACCGTATTAAATCCCAAACTTAAGAGATTTGAGACGGTTTCCTATCACCGATACAAAAATATTTTCCATTTTTTGACTATAGAATCTTATGTAGTATTAATTAACCTCAAGAATAATTAAACTAATTCGAAAAAAGCCAATAAGATAATATTTAATAGTCATTTAATGTAATTAGATGCAGCATATTAAAAGAAAATATAACTTTATTATTCTACTTCAATGCATGTTTCTTGTTTAATACGCATAAACGAATAAGCCGTACTCTCTTCAGTCTTTATCGACCTGAATTTGATAGAGTTTTGGTTTGAATAATATCTTGGAACTTAAGTATGATTGTTGTGTTTTTTTTTTGTAAAGTAACAATAAATGAAGAAGAATAAACGCTACAAGGTAGAAGAATATAACAGCTATAGAAAAGACAGCAAAACAAAGTAATTTACGACGGTGTCATAAAATCAATATGCGTTGTAATGTATGACTTGCTGTTAGTAGTAAAACAACGTCACTTTGAACGGCCTGTCGAACCACTTACTCGGTCTAAATAAAAGATATATAAAATATTCCTACGTCCGTATATTTCACGCGACTTTTTTTTAATAAATCGTATGATATTTTTCGTCAGTCAAGGTGTCTATTGTGCAAGTCAGATGTCAGTCGGTATAAAAGTTATATTGTCGCAAGGAGATTGGATGGCCACAACATTATTTTCGCATTTTATTTTATAATGATATTGTTAGGGATATTGTCTACTATTATTGTAATTTTAAAAACTACTCTCTGGTACATTCTATGTATCACTTATCATTAATTCAGAAATAAAAACGCGATAACTATCTTACATTTTTGTAATTAGTACTATTTAAAATTTTCGAAGTTTTCAATACTACAAATTATATAATATACAGTCTCAAAAAAAGGGATATGTTAATGCCGTATTTAAAATATGCTCGTATAACCCTGCCTAAATTCCTTTACCTAAATTATTTACTATATGTAGAACATTTATATGTGTAGATTTACAATTTACTTACAGAGAACATTGATTTTCGCAGAAATCGAAAGCTGACATAGTCGTAGGTGGATTACTTGGAGTAGTATGACGATACTGACAATGAAATTATATATTTTATAATTATTGACACTACATTATTAATTTTCTTAAATTTAAATGTATAGAAAGTAAGTGCATGAAACATGACTCTTGTTACACAAACACTTAGTTGATGTTGAAACTATACAATCGAATGAATAGTGCTAGAACTACAGCCGGTAATAACAATTTTATAGCTTACTTCTCAACAAGTTTACTAGTCGTATTTATCGTGAGAATGGTTTGTTCGCAAAGGTAACTAAATATAAATTATAACTCACACGAATGCTTTGAATGTAAACTTTTAGCAATAGAAATTAATGTGGGTTTTGCGTTAGGTAAAACAATATTCACAGAAAAACATTTTCTTTTCTTTCTTAAAATTTGTAAATCGTGTACAGCAAAGATATCTTACAATCATTAAAATTCGGCGTAAATTCAGTTGCATAAATTCATTTAACAATGCTCTTAATTTTTTTTTATATTTTAAATGTTTTTTAAAATTTTTATCTTTTGATAACAAAAGAATTATTTGTCCTAGTTTTATCCAAGCTTTGTCATCAGTTGTTTGATATCGTTGAGATTTGAAGTTTTACCGCGGCATTTTTGTTTAAAGATAAAAATAAAAAAAAGTCTAAACTCCTTAATACATAAGGATTTACTTTCAGTTAAAATATCCAGAGGCCAAAGTTTTCTTGAGATTCACGCGCTTTATTTCCGCCTAACTCGTGGACTTCGCCAGGATCCATATCCATTTTACACTTACCGTGACTCATATTACATAGAACTCGTCATAGGACCATGCAACAACTTCTGCTATTGCAAGAAGCCAAGATTGTCCGGTAAAATACCACGGCCTTACTGAAGCACGAGAAACGCAAGAGTTACACTCTAGCATTTCGTATGGAGAGCCTGGTAACCAGGGCCCGCTTTTTTAATGGTTGAAGACTCATCTATAACCCATGAGGTGAACCGTGATAATAAGACAGTTGAAAATATTCACAGAAAATGTATTTCTGTTGCCGCCATCACAACAAATACTAAAAAAATAGAATAAAAATATTTAAGTGGGGCCTCCATACACCAGACAATTGATTTTTTTGCCGATTTCGACTCGCACTTGTCCCGTATTTAAATGTAGTGTATATGAAGGTAATTGCCGTGTGTAAGATTAAGAGTGATTATATAAATATTCTCAAATAACCCATTTTATGTTCATGTGTACAAAAACAGAAAAATGAATTATTCATCAACCTAATAAGTAAAATATAAGACGTATTAATTAATACCAATTTCTTATTGCTACTTATTATGATTTGGGAGTATGAACTATTCTTACTATTTTATAGGGTCTCTCATAAACAAAGGTTCTCTTACGAGTATAAAGGAAAGGGAGATAAATAAAAGCCATTGTGTGCCTGTGTTTATTACCTGCATTGTAATGATCAAATATAAAATGAAACTTGTAATACTTTTGGGTCACTTTCATAATGTAATAATGGTATCAAAATGTAATAATGGCTTCGACGTATGATACTCCGTTATACGTGTTTTCCGTATAAATTAGCATATTTTTATACTAACATTAAGTCTCCTATTGAATATCCCTACTATAAATGCCAAATGTTTGATAGTAAACTGAAACACAAAAATTGATAGTAAATTGAAATAAAAAGAACTCAAAATTTACATACACAGAAAGTACTTTTTTAAGTTTATGTTGTAGAAAATTAAATTAAAACTATCGTAAACGACTCCCGACCCCTAGAGATAACCTAAATATGAGGGGTTTTAGAAAAATTGGACCACGCAACAGTGTTCTGTACGAATGGCCAGGTCCGTCCGGGTAAGTACCACGACCTCACCGAAGAACGGCGTAAAGAAAAGTGTTACATTTCTCCGTTTCGTCTGGTGAGTGAGGTAGTCGGGACCCACTTTCAGACATAAAAAATACTATTTCAATAACACAAATTTTTCTAATTGAACTGTAACGATGCGCCATAGTAGTTGTTAACGTCATGGCAGATTGGCCCCATATGCGGTGACTGCACATTCGTAGAATAAAATTTTGTCCAATAATGTAACACATAACTGATCATACTCAAAAAAGGCTTTAGGTAACACGAATGCTCCATCAACCGGATCAGACGACATGGAAATGGATTGATCACACACTTGGGAGTGATTTCGATATCATGCCCGAACAAGCGATGGATCGAAATCCGGGTAGTAAAAGCGATGACGTGAAGTGGTTTCATTAGTGAAGTTGATGATTTTAAACGAATTTAGACACCGAGTTAACATAGGGAACATAATTATTGTTTTAAGTCAAATATTTCATACCAATAATGGTTAAATAACGCTTTAGTATTTGAGAGGGCTGTACCCCATATACCCAAAACGTTTAAAAGAAGCTATAATATCCAAGAGGCAATTGATTATAGTACTTTTAAGTAATGAGATATTTCACTTGGTTTGAAATTAAAGCTAAGGGGTAGTTCTCGAATTGTAATGACCTAACAATGTTATTTACATCTAGAATTAAACCTCTCGTAATTTTATAGCAATAAATTAACGCTCAAGGTCTCAATTGTGTGAAATTGATGAAGATGCCGGTGTTATTAATGTTACACAATTGGCAGCTTGGGTCCGTCAAGGATTTTACTCTGTAGCATCAATTGTTGGGTAATATGAGTTACAAATTATATAAGTTCTAAGATTTGATAAGCAGAGCCTTTAAGGTACATTCTTAACGATTGAAAGACATAAAATGACATGAAGTTAACAATTCATTCAAAAAGAGAAGATTTTAAGTAATTTTTCTTTAACAATGAAATATAATTTTCAACAATTTTTATATCTTTTAGTTTCAACTTAATTTTTGGCGTGTCGAAATTTATGGATAACTAATTAAACCCATATTTCGAATCCCTACAAAACAATCCTTACAGTACTATAATTATCTTGAACAACTCATTAGCAATGGTACGGAGTTCGTAGAAAAAAATATTTGCACGCAGTGTCAGCGTGGAGCCACACTGCATTAATATTAATCACAGGTGATATCATAATTTTTACGACGCCACTTTTCATAGTGTATGTACCTACTTAAAGTTTATTGTGATTTTTATATTGATTTAAAGTGGTTAAAAATAAATTGGCAATAGAAGTGGACCACCGCTTTATAGATGTACTGTACTATTTTAGCTGTGATATGGTCTTAGATATTTATTGCGTTTGTTTGTTTACCCTTAAGGAAACATTTCTTATATGAATCTTGTTACAATGCTACATGACTGGTCGCCAACAGAAAGAAATCAGTACTACATAGCGTAAAAGTTTTTGTTGCAAGTAAACTAAATATTTTTGTAACGTGAAGAGAGCTAATAAATTTCTTTTTTTTTTACCTCTAACAATGCTTGCCAAAACAGAAGTATGCTTGCGACTTTTAGATTAAACTAAAATGGACGATTCGTATACAAAAACAAAAACTAGTACATTGATCTCATAAAAATGCGGATTTTTTTTAAATCTCCGTTTTAATCGGCGTCGGTTCGTATGTATAAATAAATAATAAATAAATAATTTTAATCTTTAATTTGTTCGTGAAGTTTAATAAATCATATTGTATAACGGATTAAGTTAAACATTATGGACAACGATAAATATCGACTTTAATAATTTTATTTGTTTATTCAGTGCTCTGCACAACATTTTTGACGTAATTCTCACCCATTGTTAAAAGCTTTATTGAAGTATTTTTTACGTTAGTTTTACATTTTTCTGTCTTCATATTATAGTAAAAAAAATTCTAAGTAGTAAGTTTTCTTATTGTTTTGGTTGAAATCTAAATCACTGTCAAAAATTATGAAGTGTATTCTAATATACGAAAAAAATGATCTTTCTTAAAATTATTAAAACTAGTCATTGTAGCCTGTAAATTTTTAAATACTCTTACATTTGCCCTTTTAAGATAAATTTTGTTTCTTTGGCTTTACTTAATCTCCACCTTCATTTACTGTTTGAGTTAAATCGCTTTTCAATAAACATTTTTCGAACGGTTTTAAGGTCGATTTAAACCAACATGTCTTCCTTTGGATCTTTGCACCTTGTAAATTTTTGGAACGCGTAAAGCAACGCCAATAGACACTGTAAAGAAAGTTTTTGATTTGCTTCCAATAAATCATGGATTATAACGGAGAAGATGGATATTAAGTTTCTAGTCAATAAGATTAAATTCGGCTGCGAAATTTCGACATAAAGTTTTACATTACGGCAGTCTGTAAGCATCAATTGTGACATTGATATAATCTAAAGTATAAACGATCAGTCCAAACTTTGACCACTGATCATTTAGACCATCTTTTTATTACTATAAATTATTTGACACGTCAAGGATTAAAAATGGAAATAAATTCAGCTAAATTAGCAATCATTGCTTTTTTAAAAGTTTAAATATTTTTAGAAAACAATTTTTAAGTCAAAATTGCATCTTTATATTTTGAGTCAAAGAAATTAGTTTAGGATGTTTATTATAAAATTCCAATACTTTTTTCATAAAACAGCTGTACTTTCTTTCACCCAAAAGTAAAAATATATAGCATATATCCGCCGTACGACATTAGACACATAGAGTAAGACACAATTAGGAAGATTTCAATTCAAAAGTCGTTATGTTCCATCGTTTAAAGCTGGCTTAATCGAATTGCTTTTTCGAATAGCCTTTAAGCCTGTCTGAAGTAAAATTGAAAGTCTGGTCTAGAAAAATATTAATTGAATTGTGCCTCGAAATCTATTCGAAATCCCTTTTCCGACTTTTCTGTAACAGTAAAGATGTGGTGGACATGTTATTTATATCTTGGTAATAAAATGACTGTGTCAAGTATTCATACTGCTTTATTATATTAAAAAGTTTATTTCTTTATCATTATTTCAATAAGTTTAAAAACATCAAATAGTTTGTTGCTACCCATCTTCACACTTCTCAAGGATAATCTATCTATGAATAATTGTAAAATTTATTCATGTATTTTAAAAATGAACTCACAACAATATTAATGTCAATCCAATGACAGTTTTGATTTAAATTAAGACAAAACACTCGCATTATCGGTTCTCCGCTGAACATACTAGAAAAAGTTTTTACAAAAGAATTAGTTTTATTCTTCATCTATTTTTTTTTTTAATATAATGTATTCTCATGCATGGTGACTAAACGTTGTGAAAAAGCAAAACTACTTAGATTTAAATCTGACAATGTCCATGGCGAAATCGTTAAGCTGAAATCGATTCAGTTTAATTAAATACAATCTACTTTAAGACTATCATTTATACTGTGAAGTGCCTTAGAAAATTCAAATTGACTAATATTTTGGTAGACCGAAAAAAATTACTTCGATTGAATCTGTGTTGTGTTAAACTCAAAAAAATGTTTTGTTGTAAAATACATTTATTAATAAATATATGTATTAAGCAAATATTAATATTCTGCATCTTTATTATATAATATGTAACTTATTTTTATATGGCAAAGTTATTAAGAATAGCTGTAGCGTTACGTATGGTGAAAAAGTTAGGACCATGGGTTAAAATAAAGGAGTTTCTGCAGAGTTATCTATTACAATTTTTTATGCGCCGCAATTTTATTCAACGTTTGTCCCAAATATCTTCAAATCTTCGGTGTCGGAATTAAATTCAATTTCACATCGCTCTCCGAATTGTTTATAAGAAATCTTAAATAAACATTCCATGCCCGCTTTTTCGGCAGATTTTTGCGATGATACACTAGTAAAGATACCGCCAGTGACACGAAATCCAAGTTCTTTAGCCAGTGTCTTCCTAGAAAGTATAATAATACGCAACTTTAATGTTCAGTAAGAAAAGGTCAAGGAATTTGTCATTTCTTTTTTCATTATGACTAACCGTTCATCAAATATACAATTGTAAGCAAAATATTATTATTCATTAGAAATGATCAGATCAAAGTCTAATTTATGGACAATAATTAAATTAAATTATGTATCTCATATAGCATATAATAAAATAATTATTAACCCAATGTAATATATGCTTCTGTTTAAGGCTAGACATGGCTTGCTACTTGAGATATTGGACTTGATATCTTAGATAGCGAATTCGGAATTCGGGAATATGCGCTCAATGAATTTTCATTTTGTCTGAACCACTATCAGATGACTGTGCAAGCAACACATTCAAATGGTACTTTTGGGACTAAATAAATGGAACTAATGATTCAAAATCATTTGTCAGTTTTTATACCCTTAAGTTCATATACGTACGTGTATATAGCCTATCACTGCTAAATTTGTAAAATAATTGTAATCAAATTGATCCCTTTACCTGGCTTTAAGTAACTCAACGGCGATTCCCAAGCCTCTGTACGCCGGTGCTACGGAAAGTCCTGCCCCCATGAGATAGTTGGTCACGTTATACTTGTCATATATCTCGGTAAATTTTGTCGCCTCTGAAAACATGCGCAGCGACAGCATTCCTGCGTTGGATTTTGGCTGCGATAAAAAAAACGTTAATTTACGTTGACTGTCAACATCTTAATTCCAGTTGGGTTCTGTTTTCGATTCCCTGTTGAAAGTTAATATGCACTTCACATTACTTTTTAATTTAAACGTTCTTTAAGTGTGTGACCACATTTTGACCATTACAATTCAATCGTTTGGACTCTAGGGGCACTATTGCCAACGAGCATTTAGTAAACGCCGTGTGCTGCATGTGATCTTAATAATGATTTTGCAGAAAATTCTGATCAAACAACACAATTAAGAAAGTACATGTACTTTCTTAACAATATATACTATAAGTATAAAAATAATAAGCAATTTTGATACAAAAATCCGTTCTATTTGGAACGATTTTCCATTAAGCTAGCAATATATTGATAAGTATTTATAGGGAAAGGCAAATATCAATTGTCTGTGTTATTTGTCTGCCCATTTCTATAATGTGTAGGCTTTAATAAATCTTTGGCAATTAATCACAAGATAGGTACCGGAATGTGTTCAACGAAGCGATCCTTTTCCTGGGGCATGCACATGTTGACTCCAACGAGCGTGTGACCCGTGCCGTTCTGTTCAGTAAGGAAGCATGCTAAGCTCATTTTCTGCTCAATGATCGACGTCAACAACACGCGGTATTCTTGTATTGCCTCCGGATCCTCTGCAGTGCCTATCAAGTTTTCAAGCATTCATTAAATACATAATATAAATTAAACCATGACACCATTAACATTGTTAAGGGCCAGGTTGGTTAACATAATGGGGCTGTAATACCTAAAATTTAAATTATTTTTTGTTTGAAATAATATTCATTGACAAGATAATAATAATATTTTTAAAATGTATAAAATATTCTTGTGGTAAAGAATATTCTTGTGACAATCAACTTAATTTATAATGAATATGATTTAGAAATAAAATTTCTTTCGTTTTCTGTATGCGAATTGATGAAAAGTATAAAAATTGCAAGTTTTTTAACAACGTCACCATCATCGTATTGTATATTTTTATGATGAACGGGTGCCTCCCGTCAAATAAGTATGATGAAACTGCGATTTCTCAAGAGAGTACGGCAATGATTTGAGAATATTTTTTCGTGAGAAATCGTTGGCCTGTGCATTAATGATTTTTATAAATAGAACTGTGAATGTTAAATGGGTGTAATCTGTAATGACCCTAAACTATTTAATATCCCCTACTTGCATTTTAAAGAACAAATATAACAAATATGCATAACACTTGTGTCAAGGATATGATACTCGTTCATTTGCATAATATACGTGTTTTTGTAGTGTATAATTTACTTCCTCTTCATAGCTTTAGTTGTATTCAAATTTGGAAATCCATTTCGATTTCTAAGTTTACTTCAAAACGTGTGCTTAAATACCTCTGTATTTATTCATAAATTTTCAATACCAAATAAACATATGCTTTAAGAATAAAGTTAGATATAGTTAATAAGATAAGAAACCTAGATTAAGTTAAAAAATGGCCAATATGTAATACTCCAACATCCATACAATCTTATATTGTATCCTTACCAGCAGTCATCCACCAGACATCTTCCTTTATATAGCTTCCCAACATAAATTCTACTGCCGTTTTCCACATGTCTTCAGGAATATCTTTGGTCACAAAATTCAATATACGGCCGTCCTCCACCTGCCTCTCGAATTCACTCCATACTTTCGGATATTCTCGGGATGACATTGTTAGATTTAATGAGCTTTCTTGCTATTAAAATACTTTATTTAAAATGACTTCAACGGTGCGCAGCTCATATGATACTGGACTGTATTCCTGATGTGGTTTCGTTCGTTGTTAAACAATCGTACCACGAATCTAGTTATGGATCTATACATTACGGGTATCAACAGGATGTTTAATTTTATCTACATTTTCTTGATGAAAGAAAATAAATATTTCATCCTATTCTTTCATCAATCGCTCATAAGTCATTAACGGAACAATAAGTATTGCAAATATTACAATATTAAACTTAATATTTATTCGCCAGCCACCTGCTCCTGTTACCGACTATTATGTACTGCTTGGTTAAGGAAAACATAGCGGGGAAATATGCATATCTAAAGAATAATATTTCTAATATTTTTAAATCCGGCAATGCACCATAAAAAAATTAATATTACATGCTTTTAAAGCAACAAAAATTGAAATACTAAATAAAAGTCTTCTGTCAGTGACCTCATCATAAATCGCGTCAACTATTACACTTTTGATAAATCTCAATTCTGCGCACAATTTTGAAGAAAGAACTTAATTCAAAAGTACAAGCCTCTTCAAAACCTTAATATACTGTTAACGCTTTCTGATATGTCGGATTAAAATGATTAATAAAAATATTTGATTGCTTGGGTTAAACAAATCGATAGGTAGAAAGTCACATACCTCAGCCCTCCCCTGGATCATGAGTACCATAAGTGTTTAATAATTTGAATAATTTATTTAAAAAAAAAACTGACTTCAAACGAAACTGAAAACATTGTTAATACCTATAACATTTGAGGATGGCCCTCGAATTCTCTCGGATGCCATCATCAGATCCGAGTTACGTTAATATTATATATATATATAAATGTCCCACTGAGCAAAATCCCCTGAGTGGCATCAGGGTAAAGTCCACCAGGTGGACCCATCAAAGGGTTTATATGGAATGCAAGGTTGGTTTGAAATGGAGCTTTTTCTGGAAAAGGTTTACTTAATACAGACGTAAATTTAAAAATTCTTTAAACCATTTTCAAAATCATCTTTAGGGCTTGCATTATAACTATTCTTAATAACAGAATCGTCCTGTATCACATAAATCAATACGATGAAATATGAATCTTGTAAATGATCCTTGAAATGATATAGTATTGCGGTTGTTATTAAATTGTAAGGATGCTGGAATCCATTAGATCTGATTTATGTGAAGGTTTTATAAAAAAGATCGGATAAAGTTTCTTAGGATATTTTCCGTGTAAAAAAACCCTCAATTTGGCTCCGATTTAAACGATTAAAAAGTAAGTTTGCTTTGTGGTAAAAGCGAAGCGTCTACTTTGTTTTAAGCAATTTGAGAGAAAAACAAGAGAACAATTTCCTTTACGATAGAATAAGGTTGAAATTAAATAGATTTACGTATTGTAAAATTTAAATGCATAATTTAACAGCGTTGTGTTTAGGTTTGCACTAAACCTACGTGCCTGCATAACTTAGTTGATATGTAAACAGTAGTTTGTTTAACTTCGAGGTATGAGTACGCTGTCAAAACTCGGCTTAGAGTTTTAAGAAACGAGTGACGTATTATTTTAGTAGATTATAACTTATAATAGTATGAATCCCTTGAGGCATTTAATGTTCCTAAATAATGGAACGTATTGTAACCGCGCAAAATAAATTTTGTTCTGATAGTAATGGTTATGAGTTTATTCTTTCACTAGTCGCTATTTAAAAGAAAAGCTTTAAAATTCGAACATTAAAATAGGTATAAACATTTGCTATATTATTTCGAAAATATGCAGGTTTCCTCACGATGTTTTCCTTCACCGCGGAGCACGTGATAAGTCAGCACTTAAAGTTAAAAACTTCATTGTTGCCGGCACCGGGGATCGAACTCAGGTTTATTATTGATTTATTATTGATTTACTCAGTATATTGAATTAAAGGCGAGTGCCAGGACACTGAGCTATCACGGCAAAATAAACCCATTTTAAATATTTAAACAACTTAACAACATCACGGAAAAAAGTGACAGTTTATTACCGATAATTATAGAACAACTAATCCATTGGTGTGTCATAAAACATTGGCCTTTTCTACGTAGAAAGGTTTTTAACGGATTTTAACTTGAAATTTTTTATTAATTAAGTTACTTGGTGGCGCAGTTGGGGTAAATTTTAGGCTAGTAAAAGGCTAAATTACGGCGCCGAGGATTGTAAGTTCGAATCCCACATGCTAGCGTATTTTTGTGACCCACATTTTTATTACTTAAGATTATTGTTCTAGATCTAGGCGTTCGTTCCCAAGAAGATTTGACGCCTGGTTGACTTTGGAAAGATTGGAGGATCAAAACTGTATGTATGTAGGTTCAGTGCGCGGGTGCTGGAGCAGACGTGCTCAGCGCTGGCCGGCAAGCGGGTCGCTGCGCTACTCGTGTGTGGGGGCGGGCCGTCAGCGGCAGCCGTAGTGACAGCGGCGACTCGAGCAGGAGTACCAGTGCTCCGTACTTCGCCATCGCACCTGCATCTCTCATACACAATCGCTAACGTAAGCACTTCGTTAGTACATCCAAATCTATACAAACTCTCACCTCTTGTGCTATACTTATAGTGATAAAATACATATATGGATAAATATTTCTTTGTGCTCATTTAGCCGCAAACGTAGCGTGTGCCTTGTGCTTTTATCTCTTCGCAATCTTAAAATCGCACCTACCAATTACTAGGGCATAACTGACTGTAATCAGTAATCGTCAAAAGCCAGGAAACCCAATCAGATCGAAATTTTGCTCAAGTATAGTGATGAAGTATAAGATTTGATGCCATTGTGATTTAGTTTTCATATTTCGTTTTTATAAATACTTGATAATACTTATAAATACTATCGATTGTAAAATACTTGAAAGCTGTACCGAACCGTTGTACCATGTACTTGAAATGATAGTGCACATAAATCTATATGATGTGTAATCTTAGTTACTCGGAGACTGTTATTGCTTGCCTCATAATTAAACACATAAAACATTTTATTCAACCAATTATTGTCAATTGAAAGTGCAAGAGCTTTATTTAAATATAAAAGCTACAATTAGTGCTTTTATCACAAAGCAATAATCGTGAAATAATTTCTATGAAATTGTGTGATAAAATGTTTTTAACGATAATGAGTCGTCATTTCAACAATATTGGGTTGACGTAGCTGAATTTACAGTCTCTTTAGTAACATAACAGCTTTATAGTCGTAAATTGGTTATTGTCTGCAATTGTATTGAAAGATCGTAGCACAATAAGAAATAAAAACAACTGCTATTTTCATTCACGTAATACATTATTATGGTGGACTTTCTTATAAAAATTAGTTTATATATATATATATATCGGTATTATTTTCGGAATTATAAATAATAATGATTCATAACTTTAATATATTATCGGCACAAAAGTTCTTTGGCGGACATTTGAAAGTGATTCAATAATAGAAATGTGGTATAAGCGGTTAGACTCTGTAACAACATCGTCGACATGCGGTCGTAATTTACCATATCAATGTACTATATAAAATAAAATCGAGCAACAAAATTGTATCCCATTTTATAATAGCACATTTTTATTATATTATTCGTATCTTTTTCGCTGCTTAAAATTTTATCAACCAAATTTATTTTTAAAATAAAATTCTTGTGCAATATCAGATACCTATTTGTCTTTAGCTAAACATTTTAAATACAAAATTTTATGACGGCATTAAATGTCTTAAATTAAATACTACATTATTATTATTAGCACGTCATGCTTTCATCCATGCTAAAATGGTTAGTATTTTTTCATAAACTTATTAATTAACTCACCGAACTAGATAGTATATTATTACCAATTCTTACGATTGCGTACAGATCAAAAAGTTATGACCATATTAAAAATTTCTTTTTGGGTGGTATGGGGGTGTCATTTAATACACAAAATATTGTATACAGTTTTTAGAAAGACTGCATTACAATAATAGTGATGAGAATATAAATAACAGTATCTAGTATATTTATCGGAAACTTTACGAAATCTAAGAGGGTTTTTGTCTATCTTATTCCCTTCATTCCAGAGATGCGAGCTCAACTAGGTGTCGCAGATAATGGTGGCCATTTATTTCCCACTTTAACATCCGATTTCCCACACAGACTAATAGCGTCGTTATAGCGAAGGACAATTTTGAATAGATTATAATAACAAAGTATGTTACAATCCGTTTAATCGTAGTCATTTTCACTCAGGATATGCTACCTTTGGAGATAAGACTAGAGATTACGGCACGGGAAACATTACACGCACTAAGGTATATGAATTTTTAACACGTATTTCTAATTTAAAAGTAATTTTTATTTAAAGCTATATAATTTACAATAATTAGTATATTCTTGATTATAATTGTTACTGTTTAAGAATACTTCGTCTACTAAGCTAACAGTTTTTTTTCCAGAGCTACGTTATTACATACGCATTGGCACACCTTTACTTTACTAGCCGAAGAGGATGTGTATTCATCTCTATTCTTGAGAAAAGATTTGTCGAAAATTCTTACAACACCCCCGCTTAATCCTAAATGGCTTTCACTACCAACAAAATATTCCAAGCATGCTATCTTCAGGTTTGTGTTCTAAAAACTTAAATTAGTAAAGTATTTGTTACGATTCAAGTACATTTTTTTTATCATCTTTCGTAACCTTTGATTTTCTTTTCAGGCGACTGGCAGAAGTTTCGAGACTAACAAGGGGTGTCGTCGTTTTGATATGCGACATCCATTACGCCAAAGTCGTTATGGATGAGGCAAAGCGGCTTAACATGCTTGACGGACATTTTTTTTGGCTTTGGCTCGACGCTTCTAGCGAGTTTGATGTCTTTCGTAACATCGCTAATTCAACGCAGTACACCGAAGATAACGATAATGACTTCGCAAGCTTTAGGGATAAAGAAGAAGCTTTACTTTATGATGGCTTCGACCGTAGTAAACGAGATGATGCAGACAATAATTCGATAGTTGATGCCAGTTTCCGCTATTCATCACGAAAGTCGATTAAGATGAAGAGTGAAAACGTACTTAGAGAATACTTTTTGAATTTAGAGAATAGTTCGACGGATGCGATTTTCCGTCAAAACGGAGAAAACTTTAATGAATTTAAAGCGCACATAAATAAGAATAAATCAAATTTTAGTAATAAATATGATATAAGTGAAAATAGTAGTTTGGAAATTCTAAGGAATATTAAAGTAGATAAAAAAGGCGTTGAAAGTTCTAAAATTGAAAGCAGTTTATTAGAAAAGGAAACTAAGAATTCCTTACATAGTAGTAATATTTATAGTGAAATTAGTTCTAGTAGTAAAACAGAAAGTGAAACATTTAATAAATATGTAAATAGCATAAATGTAAATAATTTTAATAACGAAAAAAAAATATCACCAGAAAAATATTTAGAAATAAATAATAAAGATCGAGACCTTAAAGATAGTATATTATTTGCAAGTGATATTAGTGATTTCTTAATGAATCCCACGGTGCATACATCTACAAAAAATTTTAGAGATAAAAAGGTGAAAAGAGCGGAAAAATATTTTGAAAGTAAAAATGCTTTCGATTCTATCAACATAGCAAAAGAAAACAAAAGCATAATTTTTAACGATCTTCCAATTGGACTTTTGGCTCTATACCCTCAACCAATGGTAATTGGTAAGGATTTTTTAAATTAATTGATACTGCAATTTAACACAATTATGGGGAAGAGAACCTAGCAGTAGTTTAATATAAAGTGTTCAATATTTTTTGTAGATCGAACATTCATTCGATCTGCAGTACAAATTACAGTGGGATCCCTCCGTCGAGTATTACGTGCTTGTGATGCGTGGTCAGCACAAGCCCAATTTTTGAGTGACGCTACGGCATCATGTTGGGAGGAACCTAGCGATGCGGCTGCTGATTTCTCTCTTGAATTTGTGAGGTAATTATGATTATTTATGATTTTTTTATTTTTACTAATTCGCACACAAGATAAAACTTAAATGTAAGTTATGTAATACATAAATTGTAGGAAAATTTCGGCGCGGGCAGGATTCTAACCTGTGTCTTCTAAGAAACGCGCACAGACGCATTAGCCAACAATAGTGGCGCGTAGCGGCTCAGTTGGTTATAAATTATTCATTACTTTTGACTATATTTGGGACATATTTTATACACGTCGTTTTTATATTAAATATTGTTGTTATCGGTTACCATGCTTTCAACGAATAATTACCCTATTATATAGGAACTTGTGAATTGTATTTGTTGTAAATTAAATATTAGCCGAAAATTATGTTATTTAATGAAAATTCGGGAAGCTTAATTTAAGTAATTGCAGTAAATCCGTTGAAGTAGATTATAATTTGTAATTTGTAGTGTTCGCGTGAATATAAATTAGATCAGATAATTTTATGTAACCTTCCCAAATATATGGTTACAAACATTGAATATTGTTTAAAAAATTATGCATCTAAATAAATTATTTTCATTTATTTATCTCATCGAATACATTTATCTGCAATTTAAGTCTTACTGTGGCATTTTTATGTAATATATAAATTATTTATACAACATACTCACAATACAGTATGCCAAACCCGTAATTATCATTTATCATCATCAAACATAATTTCAATGACTAACTTTTGAGTCAAGTGAATTGAAATGAGAATTGAAAGGAGAATGTTATTTTAAAACATTCTAAAGCGTTTAAACAACGAATCACGTAAACTACAGAATAGAACGGTAACAAGCGTAGAGCATCATCATAAAAGTAAATTGACTAGCGAGTCCGAGAATGGCGCGAGATTACTTTTACGTCCCTCTATCTAAAAGGCGAAGGTTGGTCGGTCTATATCAAAGACTGCATTACGCCATAAAACCTTGTTTTCAAGACGACTTTGTTCACAAGCATATATTTTCTCCAAGGCACATCCTTTACAAATTCCATGTGCATTAACTTTATTCATTATCGGTATTATAGTTTTCGTTCCATCGATTATTGCAAAAGTTTATCATTAATACGATGTTGAATATATCCATTTTATTTTAGAACAAAATACATATCATTTTGGATCAAACGTAGTATGTTTTAAAACTAAAGATCAAAATATATTTATGACAATGGATGCTATGAATCTTTTTTATTTATATAAAGCTATGCAATGGGGTTTGATGCGTCCTTTTTGACATTGAGAAGGGTGCCTAGTGTACCAAAATTGTGACACAGTTATACGCAATTTGTCATTGTGTATTTATTTAGAATTATTGAATACATTATTGGACTTGCCTCTTTTTCTAGGACTGATTTTTTTAACTTAGTATAAAATTGGTATTATATTTGAGGCCTATTTTAAATATAATATTGTGGCTCCACCGTTTCACGTTAACTATAGCTACGTTATATATCTAACTCACACTTTTACTTAAGTGGCCAAGATTCAGTGTTATCCATTTCTCTACCATCTTCTATTTTTTAATTCACGTCGCTGGCTAAGAAAAATTTGTAATGGTATACCATTTCTGTAATCGTATAAAATCTTTTGATATGATTGCCGGGATTTCCAAAATTTTCATGTTTCAACAAATCAAGTTTCTGTTTTTAAAGGAACTTGAAGAATAGTTAAATAATTCAGAGAAGTAACACATCCTAACAAGAGACCGGAGCAAGGAATCACAAACAAGCCGAAAGTCATTAATACATTGTTATATGATTTTCTCTTTCACCCATAAATGTCCTTCGAAGTCCATCAAATGATTCCTTCCACTTTATACGAAATTAAAAAGTCATAAAAAAATTATCGCGTGAAAATATTTCCGACGCAGATCCATTTTTCAAAGAAATACAATATTAGACACAGTTTTAAGCTATTGCATAGCTTTTATCGCGGGCTTAGAACGCGGCGACCGAATCAAGAAATTCCGTAACGAAAATAAAACCTAATACCACCTACCTAATACTACCTAATACTACCTAATACCGTGTAGAGGAAAGATTTCATTGTTTGTATTGAATAGGCTCCGAAACTACAGAACCGATTAGAATATTTGTTTCATTGTTGGGAAGCTACATTATCCCCGGATGACATAGGCTATATTATATTTTAAAAAAACTAGGGATCCTTACTAAAACTTAAAATGTAACCCATAGTGTACAACAATAACCTACAATATTCGTTACATCGCGTGCGCTGCGAAAACTATTGATGATAGAATAAAATAAAGTACTACGAATTTGCAAGACACATCATTATTTACAAAAAGAGTCGCGACAGCATATGTCTAACTATTATAGTTATGCCACAATAAGTGTTCTTTTATTTTAAAATTTTAATTGAAATGCCGCGGCTAGAAAAGGCTCTTTATTTGTATCTTGGTATAATTCCTTATTCAATATCTTTATATAACTTTTTGACTTATTAAATTCGGACATACAATTCGAAAGATATCACAAGTTTAAAAATGTTAGTACATTGTAATTTAACTATCCAAACAGCTTAGTGACTGACTTAGTAGTTCTTATCATTTTTGTCAATAATGTAAATAAACTAGCAAAAACGCATTCTACCGGCTTATGGCAGTTAGCTGAAGAATGCCCGAATTGCTGACAGCGGTGGCATTGCGGGGAGCCGGTTCTGCCTCTCCAGCCTTCCGCAATGATGCCAGGCATGTTTAGCAATTCTTGGATTGCGTATAGTCTTGAGACTTCGTAGTTAGATAGGCGTTCTAGTTGTACGTAGAATATACATCTACTGCGGTTTCTTAGCGGCGGTATGAGCTTTGCGTATACCGCCGGGAAGCCTAATTGTTGGAGGGCTTCAATGATATCCTCGGGTAGCGTGGTTTCTGGCAGACCCCTCACCCCGACCTTGGTGGGGAGTTCAGCCGCGGGCGCGTAGCATTGCCATTTTATGTCACTGTTTTCTTCGGTTGCCTCCGATAAATGCCGTGGAATAATTCTGTATTCAGTGGCTGACTGCGGTAGGAAACGCAACCCTTTTCCGTACGTTCGGCCGTTAGGGGAGAGTCCTAATTTTCTTTTTAATTCTGGGAAATGGCTGGTCCATTCGGGAAGGTGTTCAACCACTATTGGCGGGTAACCCTTTTTGGTGGTTTCTTGGTTGACGGTTTCGTTTTCCGTTTATGGCTGCGGCTGCATCGATGTTGAAGGTGTCGGTGTCGGTGCTTGCGGCGGGGTGGCTGTTTTGGCGATGGTTGCGTAGGACGTGCTTTGATGCGCAACGTCCATTGCATTTTCGCTACGATCGGGCGAACTATGGACCGAGTCATAAGACGGCGATCGGGGTGGCTGCGAATGTCAGGTTATGGCGGTCTTCTTATTTCGGTGGTCTTCCTTTGAGTTATTAGGCAATTCAACGCACTGTCGTTTCTCATACAGTGACGCATCTGTCTCCGGCGGCGTATGTCGCCTGCGAGCCTTACAGCGGTGGTACGTCTTGGCCGGGGTGGATGCGTACATAGACGCACCACCGTCGGCTTTGACTTCCGCCACCCCCGAGGTACTTGCGGCGCTCTTACAGTATTCTTCCTCACTTGTTGAGTGGTGTCGCTGCTGTTGCGGTCGCAACTTCTCTCTCGGGAGCTCAGCTTCCTCGGCGATAAGTTGGTCCACGACGGCAGGTAGACGGGTCCTCCTACGAGGTTTGGGGGGCGAGCTGCCCTCCATTCTTCGTGGTTCTGTCTTAGTTCGTGGTTGCGGGCGGTGTCAATTCCCCTGTGCGAGCTAGTACCTTGCTCTCTTCGGCGCGGGCCACTTAGCCGGGTGAGACCCCTGAGGGAGGTATAGCGAAGCGCCCAGCGAGCAGGGACGGGTAGTTAGGCCGCAGCGTGAGGTGGGAATCGTCGCGCTTCCCAGCACGCCCACTGCCTGCCCTTTTCCAAGGAAAGGGGAGACGCAGTGCGAGGTCGCACACGTAATCTCGCTGTCGCTGGGGTACGTGGTCTCGGCGAGGCGTGTACGGCGCACACGTCCCGGACAAGGTGGCCTAGGCTGCTCGACGCTTCACGGAGTTCCTACCTCGACGTTAGGCGGAGTGGCTTCGGCGGACTTCGGCTGGATGGCTTCAATCTCTCACGATGTCGCGAAACGGGCGCTTAACCCTCGGTGTTGCAGTTGTTCATAGGTGGCGGTAATCACTTACCATCAAGTGAGCCTCCTTCATGCTCGTTTGTCCCTTTTCTCCATAAAAAAGTTAAGATTAATAAGATTTATTACTTCGATAAATTTTTCTCTCATTATCAGGTAGGCATTGTGAATTATATACATTGATTGTAATATCACGATACCAAGGATTATTACTTTTGTGATATATCAAAGCTGCCTTAACATTAATAATTACATGATTGACAATAAAATCTTTGTACCCTTCATTTTTTCTAAACAAAATATACTTTTTTATTTAAATTTACATATATTATTGGGCCGTTACAAAATTAATGGCAAATTCTAAAAAAATCTAATTTTCGTGATATAAATTTGATTCTGCCTCTCGTTCTCTTTTCTAACGTTCTCTCGTCTGATTCATCAACTAACGATTTTTTCACGTTCTTTACGGCCTGTTAATGTGAGTCTTCGCGTCATTTTACTGTAGTATTTTTATTCTTTGTTTCGCTGTAACAATGTCCTTAATATACTTACTGTAGGTGAAATATTTGACTGATTTTCACAAAGTTATCGTTCACGCATTCCTATATTATTTTTTGTAGGTGCTCACTAATACTAATTTAAAAACATGTTCAAAAAATGTCAACCTTAGTTTTGTTGCAGTTGCCAATGATTAACTCTTTAGTTTTCTAACAGATGGCGTTAGTAGTACAATAACATTGTATCCAATAAATATTAAAAAAAAAACAAATTACGTTTTTTTTGGCAGATAACACATCTAGATATGAAGTTAAATTACTGTGTTAAGGCAAAAATCTATAAACCTGATAGTTTTTCCGTAAAGTGTACCACAAAAGTGCTCAGATTGTCGAATAGTGTTAGGGCGAGCGAAGCGAGTCGATTGATTAACTTTGTTCAATTTAACTGTGGTAATTAATTTTACTGTGGCTCGCAATAGCTTGCAATTTTGAACGGTGGTAGAGCCACGCAGCAGCCTCGGCTGTTGCACGAATGGGCAGGCTCGTCCGGGTAAGTACCACGACCTCATAGAAGACCGGCGTAAAGTGGAAGTATGACAAATACTTTCGCGTTTCGTCTGGTGAGTGAGGTAGCCGGAACCCAATTTCCAAAAAGGTTGTCAACGCATCTGCAAACCCTCATGTGTAGCAGATGTCTATGGGCGGCGGTATTCACTTAACATCAGGTGAACCGTCTGCTCGTTTGGCAAGTTTTCACATAAAAAAAAAAAAAAGATTTGGCTGTTGCACGAATGGCAAAGTCCGTCCGGGTTAATACCACGACCTCACAGAAGCCCGGCGTAAAGTAGTCTGGTGTGTGAGGTAATCGGAGCCCACTTTATTAAAAGGTGGCAACGCATCTGCAAACCTACGGCCATGCCCTACGGCAAATGCCCATGGGCGGCGGTTATCACTTAACATCAAGTGAACCGCCAGCCTGCCATCTTCTCACATAAATAAGAAAAACTTTTTATTTGATCTGGTAAAGCAAAAATTAGTAAGCAAATTCCACATGGGGTGCATGAATGCTCGTTTTGCAAAATTACTGTCTTAAATCCATGGTCATGTAATGAAAATATATCTGTCATGTTTTTGCGTAACTCTGTGCGAAGGAACGTGGATAGATTAAGTTATTTTAACTGTTTTATTTTAGTTGGCTTGAATAAAAAAAAAAAACAAATAGTAAAACATAATATTATGGATTATATTTTAGATCGTGAAAAAGGAAGAATTGCCCGAAAAGTATTACGGGGTGACTTTATGATAGAATCCAATAAGTGCAGTGACTTAAAGCATTTGCCGATATGTCTGACGGAGAATAGTACCTTATATTTTCAATTTTCTGTCTCTGACTCTTGTGGTTTGAAACGTAAAATTGATTGCTTCCCTGATAATTTTTCAAGCTTTTCATGCGTGACTGATAACTTATTATGTCAATAATAATTTTACAAATCCTAACAAAGAATTTTAAAACACAATAATTTCGTTGACTAGACCAGGTCCGAAAATACATTGGGTATTATGCGTATAAATAAACATCTTACCTAAGTAAATTGCGACACTTGTTTCACTGTTTCTAATATAATAAATTATTAACTAGGGTTGCTCACATGTCGCATGGCATTGTTATTTAACAAATGAACTGACTAAACTAAATGTATATTTGTGTCATTATTATTACCTATTGTTTATTCAAATTTTGTTTTGTTGCGCGAAAGTAAAAGAATTTATGGAAAATGTTTTAATTGTTGCTAATTCTCTTTTGTTACAAACCATATAATTTAATCGTTATTGTTAAATAAGTTACTAATTATTGAACAGCAAGACTATAATGTATAGTACCTAAAAAACTTCAATAAGTTTAAGAATTTGAGTGATTTAAGTTAGCAATGATACATTTATTTCAATGATATAAGATTTAAATAAATTATTAAAAAAATAAAAATTTATTAACTGTAATACGAAAGGTAATTGATCGAGTATGAGCCACATACTATGCGGAAAAATATTATTAATGACTTAACTTTTTTTTACTTTAGAGAAATCCAAGTAGTGAAAAATCATTGGGACCATCATATCCCCACTTCTCATTCTTGACGACAGAAATGGTACGAGTTCCCATCCTGTGCCCATCTCTTAACTTCAACGTCTGGAAAAAGTATGAACAGCGTAGAAATTTAAAATCAGAAAAAAAAATATTCTAAATTTTAAAATCAGTAACTATATCAAACAAAATTAGGAAAAATTTTCTTTAAAATATGCATTCATTCTATAAATTCCATATTAATTCCTTTTTGTCAATTCATTTTTTTGGTTAAAAATGCAGTTATTTGATCAATTTTACTACATTTAATTTTGAAAAGTTATAGAAAATTAAGGTGAGAATTTTTTTAACTTCGGCACAGTGAAACACATGAAGACGTTGAAAAATGGAATGGTATAATGGGAGATTTGGTTTCTGGTGCGGCACATATGTCATTTGCTGCGCTTAGTGTATCTGCGGCAAGAGCTGAAGTTATTGATTTTAGTCAGCCATATTTTTTTAGCGGTATTTCGATATTAGCCGCCCCAAATCAACGCCCAGATATACCGCTATTGGCTTTCTTGCTCCCCTTTTCCCCAGAATTATGGATAGCAATATTCACATCTCTCAATGTTACAGCGATTGCTGTGGCTATATATGAATGGTTATCACCTTTCGGTTTAAATCCTTGGGGACGTCAAAGATCTAAAAATTTTAGCATATCTAGTGCTTTATGGGTCATGTGGGGTCTATTGTGCGGCCACCTTGTAGCTTTTAAAGCACCTAAAAGTTGGCCTAATAAATTTCTCATTAATGTTTGGGGTGGATTTTCTGTGATATTCGTTGCCAGTTACACTGCAAATATAGCAGCACTCATTGCGGGTTTGTTTTTTCACAATGCTGTTGATGACTATCAAGGGCGAAGTAACGTAAGTAAATATATTTGAAAAAACCTAAATCTAAATAGATCTTTTTCATAATCGTTATTAGACAATTTGTTAATTTTTTAGTGGCTTTCTCTTCGAGTAGGTACTCCTAAGTCCTCAGCTGCAGAATATTATGTTCAAAGAAATAATCCACAACTGGCGCAACAAATGAGAAGATATGCTTTGCAAGACATTGAGGAAGGCATTCAGCGATTAAGGTATGTATTAATATATGTCGATATAAAACCTAAAATAAATATAGAAACAGGGAAAGAAAAATAATCGGCTATAATGGAAAAAAGTTTTCATTATCATCGTCATCATCATCATCATTTCGGACTTGGATGGGAATGAATTCTATAGCGGATTGTTGTGGTTCTGACTGCTATTTAAACGTTACATTTTCATAACTGCTATATGAGAAGAAAGAAATAGGTCTGAGTGACAGCGGAACGACTTTGGATATAAGCGTTCAAAGATTGATGGATGGTCGGTGTGCACAAGACTGTTAATAGTATGATCGATAGTCCAGTGTCAAATAGCTTAGGCCTGTCTGTTCGTTATTTCATCATTAATGAATATTTTGAGATACAAGAATAAATAATATTTTGTCATTTATTGATCAATGTGGAAACAACTTGCTTTGAATACAATCCTCATTGACAGGGACTATATAAGGAAAATAACAAAAATTTATTTCGAATGATTTTGGCTGTTCATATTTATATGAAGATTCAGCTAAAAATATTTATGAAAATTAAATTTTTATAACAATGATCGCCTTAAATATAAGTTAATGATTTATGTGATATTTTTAAATGTATCTAAAGTTATTTTCTAAAAAATAATTTGTATTATATTAGTCATAGTAAATATATCAAACATTTCATATATTTCATATTTTAATTCTTTCCGATCGAAATAATTTTTATGTTGGGAGATGACAGCCACAGCTGCTTAGTTATCTAAATTTTCTAATTTTCTTAACTCTTGTATTTGATAGTACGTTTAACCATTATAAATGTAAAGCGGTACCGTTTTATCAGAGGTGGAGCAAATTATTATTTATAAACAATTAATAAAATATAAATGGGAGTAAAAAATATTTATATTATGTTGCAGGACAGTATATCAGCAGTTATAGCAAAATATTCATCTAACGGCTATATGGATATACTTACAGAGAAGTGGTATGGCGCTTTGCCTTGTTTTAAACTAAGCCCAGACTACGGCATCCAACCGAAACCTTTGGGTAAGTTTGTGTTTTAGACATTTCTTGATTTTGTTAGCAAAACTACGTTAGTGGTAATATTGACCAAATGATTTCTATCTTATAAACGAAACTTTTGGTATAAAATAAATGTAAAACAAGGTGTAGTACCACACGGTTACAATGTTATTATAATATTGCTTATACCAGCGGAGTCAGCTGGTTCGTCTCTGCCGGAAATTTCATTAGAATTTATCGCCTCCCCGCGTTAATCCTGCCCTCTGTGCTACGGGAAGAGGGAGGCGTGTTACCACCAGCCGACTTAAAAGATTAAATATAGGATTTATTGCTAAAAAACGAGAGGGCACGTAAAGTTTGTTTACTTCTCATTAAGAACAACCTCTAATGGCATGATAAAAAAATTAAAATACAATAAGGTTTATATACACATTTATATTTACATATTTATTGAAATTTTTAATTTTTATATAGTATAACTGTACATATCTTTTTACTTTAATATTAGTTTTTTTATTAAGTTATTAACATATGAAGGTACAACAGGTAAAGTAGCTTTTCGCTTTCCTTAGGCTTAAGTAAGAAAAAAACTTCGCACGATATTTTCAAATTATTATCTAACTAATTATTATCTACCTACATGTAATTGAAAACGTAACTCACTTCACTCACTAATAAATTTTATGCTGCTAGCAGAAAAAAAATTATCTATAAAAACCGAGAAAAAATCATGTCTCTTGTATGGGAGCCCCACTTAAAATATTTTTATTCTGTTTTATGCGAAAATGTCAACTCTCTTACTATCACGCTTTTTGAGATACAGCCTGGTGACAGATGGACGGACAGACAGACAGATCGACAGACAGATTCATAGACAGACAGACAGCGAAGTCTTAGTAATAGGGTCCCGTTTCACCCTTTGGGTACCTTAATAAAAAGCCTTTACTCTATTATGCTACGTAGCATGTTGTTGTCATATAAATTTAAGGACTCTCGTGTATGCATCAACGTAATCTAAAAATATGTTTTGTATATTTGCGATAAACAGGGATAAAACGAATGTATGTACGTTGGCGGCGTCCGGCGTCTTCTTTATTACAGGTGTTGCTGCTGTCGCGGGTGTTTTTATACTACTTGGTGTTGGTATGATCGTGGGTTGTTTAATATTGATCTTGGAACATCTGTTTTATAAGTATACTTTACCAATTTTACGTCATCAGCCAAAGGGGACGATTTGGAGGAGCAGAAATATTATGTTCTTTAGCCAGGTAACTCTATTTACAGTTATTCACTATCATAAATACAGATAACCAAAAAAAAAATATTTTTTACGATTTGGTTTAATTTTTACTACTGCTTTTTCTCCTTTTTTTTTTTATGCGAAAAGTTGTCAAACGAGCAGACGGTTCACCTGATGTTAAGTGAATACCGCCGCCCATGGACATCTGCTACACTCGAGGGTTACAGATGCGTTGACAACCTTTTGAAAATTGGGCTCCGGCTACCTCACTCACCAGACGAAACGCGAAAGTATTTGTCATACTTCCACTTTACGCCGGTCTTCTGTGAGGTCGTGGTACTTACCCGGACGGGCCTGCCCATTCGTGCAACAGCCGAGGCTGCTGCGTGGCCCTACCACCGTTAAATTCTTTTCTTAAATAAATATTTAGTGATTAATTGTAACTTAAAATAGGATTTTTATAAATTGACTACAACTGCCGCATAACATTTTACTGTGGTAGGACCACGCAACAGTATTTGCTGTTGCACGAATTGCCAGGTCCGTCCGGGTTAGTACCACAACCTCACAGAAGACCAGCGTAAATTAGAAGTGTTACACTTCTGCGTTTCGTCTGGTGAGTGAGGTAGGCGGGGCCCATTTTATTAAAAGGTGGCAACACATCTGCAACCAGTGTTGCAAATTCCCGTGGGCGGTGGTTATAACTTAACAACAAGCTTCTTCGGAATAAAGTTTATTTATTAAAAAAGTCGTTTTTGTCAAATTTTATATTACCCAGTGATTATTTTTTAAGTATTTTCAAAGAAATTCAAGTAACCTTAACGAACACATGCACATTTTTAACAGAATCTTTAGTTACAGAGTTAGTCTCCTATATAGGGCTTGTCGAGAATGTGCGATATGCATGTACGGGTTAAATTATAAAAAAAACTTGAGATTTATTTTGTAAATTAATTCTGTCAACAATGTAATGACTATTTATAATAATTTCCCTAGTTATAGTTTTTTGTTCATACGCATCCCTTGCAGCGTAATTTATATTAGTATCTGAAGGTGCGCATATTTTTTATTCTTTATATATTTACATATGTGTCCTATATTAATATAAAAAGGTCTTATAAAGACGTTGTTAAAACTTGATGCTTTAAATGTTTTGGCAGTAATTGCCAGTATAAATCTAAGTACCTGAAAGACCTTTTTTTTGGTAAATCATGTATTTTGGAAATAAAAAAAAAATAAAGAAAATGATCTGGTATACAAAAAAAAGTAAAAAACAATTGTGTAAATGATCGTGATACGAACCGCGACCGTCTGTTTCGGGGCCGCCCGACTACGGACCGAGCTATCATAACATTTTTTGCGGCGAAATTTACTGTCATATTCGAATGATATTTTTCATATATAAAATTCTCGTGTCACGGTGTTTGTAATTGAACTCCTCCGAAACGGCTCAATCGATTTTCGTGAAATTTTGTGTGCATATCGGCCAGGGTGGAGAATCGGACAACATTTATTATTCATCCCCCTAAATGTTTAGGGTGGTCCACCCCAAACATTTTTTTCTACCCTACAAATAATTTATATGACAAAACAACGTTTGCCGGGTCAGCTAACTATTGGAGAGTTTCTTAGTTTTGAGTATAACAAACAAAAAGTTTAATTTGTATTTAGATATTATATATACAACAATATTTTAACTTCAATACATTCGTTCCGCTCACATTTTAGTAGAACATTCAAGTAGAACTTTGGCGACAATGTATTTACCGTACTTTAAGCCGAGACCGTTTCTAGACGGATTACGCCAGGTGAGCCGCAGCTCGCTGCAAATTTTAACGCTCAACGAGCTACTCGTCTTTACAGACTACACTTAATCTTTCTGAATTGCGTTGCTTACCTTCGTTTTGTGCTTGTGTATTGTAATGTCAAAAAGAAGTCAGTTTTGCAAATCTGTTTAAAAGTATATCTGTTTCAGAAATTATACAGGTTTATAAACTGCGTTGAACTGGTATCCCCACATCACGCGGCGCGCGAATTAGTTAACACTATTCGCCAAGGGCATTTCACTTCTCTTTTCCAGAAAAGTGTTAAAAGGGTAAAGTTTATTTTTAATTTCATACTAAAACAAAACATTTTTAAATTTCGGTTTGTGACAGGAATACACATTTGTTTCAGAAGGAACACGAACAACGTAGAAGAAGAAAAAGCAAAGCACAGTTTTTTGAAATGATCCAAGAAATTAGAAGGTGAATATTTATATTAATTAAATTTTTGATGTAATAATGATCTCAAAAACTAATTCTGTATTATTTATCAGGGTTCAGCAAGGGCGGGATCATTCATTGGATTCCATAAAGGAAAATGTAGCCATAGAAACTTCTGAAATTTCAGCAGAAGTGACCGAGTCAAAGTTTTTATCCCCTTCTCCGGAGGTATCAGGCCGATCACCGAGACATGGTCGTTCTCCAAGACAGCTTCGATCACCAAGGACTCGTCGAAAAAGGTGCAGTCTTGCTGGACTAAACGTGAGAAGGTTCAGTACAGATTCAGTGTTAGGATCAGATTCAACTTCAATATATGAAAAAACAAGTCTTAACATTGGCAGAAGACTTAGTCGAGATGTTAGTTGCTTAACAAATTCTCCCCCAGATATTAATACCCGACTTCGAACACCTTCTCCTATGGTTCGTCGAGCAGAGGCTTCCTCAACTCGTTCCTACCAAGATGTTTCTGAAAGATCAGACAACTACTTAGGTATTGATGTTCCAACACATCGCGCAAGTGTTGAAATAATGGTATCGGAGGATAGGGAACAACCAACTCCTCCACCCTATCCAAGACTTTCACATACCGGAACAAGATCTGAACTGTCTCAATTATCGGAAAATGAACTTATTAGGTTGTGGCGAAGTTCGGAGAGAGAAGTTCGAGAAGCACTATTAGCAGCGTTACAAGAGAGACGTGCTAACTTAGACCCGAAACAAGATCCAGGGTGAAACACAAAATACCGATTGTATCTGGAAAAGAATTCGTCTGTACAAATAAATCACTTCGTATTTCTAATAGAAATTCAAGATGAGGATTCGGGAGTACAGAAAAGAATACGCGCTCTGATCTGAAGCAGGTGTCTTTCTTACATTGTTTGATGCGGACTTGGCTACTCAATGTTAATTAACCGTTCGGTGTTCATTTCAGTGTCTTGTTATTTAAGTATAATTCTGGTAATTGAGAAACTGCCTTATTTTGGATTGCATTTTCTTCGAATCGCGTCAAACAATTTAATTAACGGTATGTTTAGTGATTAATTGAAAATTGGAGATATTAACGTCCATAAGTCACATTAATAAATAATATATTATAATAATCATATTATTATTACAATTAAATTAAAGGCTATGTTATATTGTATTAAATATTAATGAAAGTAGGACACAGAATTGAAAGTGCTTTATCTTACATTTAGAATAATCTATAGTATTTTTTTTAATGTCGTGATATAAAATTTGCTTTTAAATGGAACTTAAATTATGGATCTAGCTAACAATGAAAAATTTGAAACACTATACAGATATTGTAATTTAGACATCACCATTTAAGTGTAAATTACAAATGCACCGTGCTTTTCACGTTAATTTTTACAAAATAATACTTATTTTATTATTTTTAAGTTTGTACGTATAACCCAACTAATTTATAAGATTATTTATTACTTAATACGAAAAATTCAAAACATGCCAAGCCTGTATGAGCATTCATTTATTTAATTCTTATATATATAGTTATAATTCTACGTCAAATTAGTATTTTTGTCACAAACATTCCCCTGTAACTAATATTATAAAAGATATACCGTTTGAACCATCAATAAAATCTTTTACGTCGTTATTATGCTTCGTGTTATTCTTTTGCAGTTGTTAACATCGTAATTAAATGTTCTAATTTTAAATAATTATACTTAAGATATAAAGTAAAACAAAAAACCGTGCCATTGATTTTAATTCTTAGAGAATTTTAAAAGATAACTTTAAATACACATTTGCCCTAGAATTGCACCTAGATTTTACTTTAGAACTTTTCGACTCTATTCACTTTAATTATATGTATATTAACCCTATATCTGAAATTAATCCACTATTCATAAAACAAAAATAAGCAATATTATATTTATAAGTGAAATTGGTATCGCTGGAATAAAAAATTGGTTTGAAATAAATACTCATGAGTTTCTACTTTATGTATAATGTTTAGTTAAACGATAGTTGAGAATGTATGTAATGATTGCATATGTAACAATTATGTCTTATTTATTTGTAAACTATATTTTAAGAATTAAAGAAAAACACGTTGAAATTGTTACTTTACCTAGTAAATTTTTACATAACAAGACAATTTACAAAATACTTTTAACTTTTACTTTACATTTGATAAAGCGATATTTAAAATGAAAGGATATTTTCTCTCAGTAGATCCTATCATTATTTTAGTTAAAGAAAAAGGAAAGGCGAAACTCCAGTTTTTGGACCAAAGTCAAGAATAAATGACTTGTTTATTGTTCTAATGGATGTGATTCATCTAGTGATATTTAAAGTCTTATGGATTACTCTTATTGATTATATCGAGTATCGTAATTTGTCTTTAGATATAAAATAATGTATTAAATAATAATTTCAATTATTAATAGCCAATATAAATAATGCAACAGTATATACATAAATTTTTAGATGTAAAACATAGAGAAAAGTTCCTTTTTTATAAGAACGCTAATCAAAAGCTTGATTAATGGCCCCTTTTAGATGAATTTTAAACTGGTTTTGTAAAATTAAACTTGTTACTGTTTTACTTACTTTAAATTGAAAATGATCAAATTTAAAGCATTAGGTGAATAAGGGGTTTATTTTTATGCCTTAAAGGTTAGAGTCAAAATTTAAGTCTTTCCGATTTTATTCCAGTTCAATAGAGATAGACAGATAAAGAAACAAGTTGAACATAAAAATAAAGACAAAATAATAGATTGGCAACTAAGTGATTGCGGATTCAGTTATAGATGTTTCTCACTCCCATTATGATATCCGTAAATGTTATGATCTTGTTCTTCTTATATGTTAGCTTCCATTCTTATCTAGCTTTACAAGTTCATTGCGTAGATATTTTCTCAGTTTTTTTTTCTTACCTCAATATTAGTATAGACTGCAAAAATGAACATTATCGAATATTTGTTCCATATTTGCTTCCAAAATTAGAATGGTAGAATTATTTCCGAATCACAGTTGTTTAACTATTGGGAAGTGATTTTACACCCACCATATATCCCTGACCTCGCGCCATCGGATTACAACTTATTTTGATCCCTGGACAACTCCCATCGTGGTAAAACTTTCAATGATGATGGCACTTAAAAATCTCACTGAAGTTTTCTTCTTCTCAGTTTTTGGTTGAAAAGGATCGGACTTTGTACGATCATAGATTTTTAAAATTTTCAGAGAAATAACAATGGGTCATCAAACAAAATAAAAAATACATTATTGATTAAACTTAATTCCATTCCAATTATTTTTTATTTCATAATTAACAAATCGGCAATAACTTAGTTGCCTACCTAAAATATCATAACTTAGAAGTTTGGCCTCAGTTTTGGTTTTGTTTCTACAGTTTCAAATTTAAATTTTACATGCATTCATTACCGTTTATTATGCTATCGTAAAATATTTATTTGAACTAAAAATAGAAAAGAAAAACATAATGAAACGTGTTAGCTTTTTGTAAAATATGTCATAGACAAAATAGTAAACGGACAACATATTATTACGTACTCTATTTTATTTTATTAGCAACTATAGCTTTGTTTTTGCAATCGACCCTTATATTCTAATCAGAATATAACTATAAAAGAAGTTCAAAAACTAATTCGCGAGTATTTTAAAGTTTACATATTTAAATATTAATTATTATATTACATAAAAACTAGATTAGAAATTATATTATTATATTAATCATAGTGAATTAAAAAGACGCCAATTTATCTGTAGATATCCATACATGTAGATGTAGAAACTTATACATATACCTCTAATACATAATTGTACATATTATACAAAACTTATGACAACAAATTAAAAGCGTAAATCGCAAGTTTATGAGGGCGACGGGTGACTATGGAGACTAATATTGTGAAAGAATTACAATACTACTACTTTCAAAGGCAATAGGTACCATATGTTTCTTTCGCCTCCATAAAAAGATATTAATACCACTACTAATTCTAAATTATTCGTTTAATGGAAAAAGAAACGTAAGAAAATCGCCCAACAATTTTGATTTCAAATAAATATTTTCAAAACTTTCATTACCGTCACCCATAATAAAAAAGTGTAAGAGTTATGTTTAGATGGAAGAATAAACTGTTTGTGCCAAGTTATGTTTCATTTCAACATTAAAATAATAATAACATAAGGTTCTAACGAAACTCTATTGTCATAAACTCAGTACCACGACCTCACAGAAGACCGGCGTATTTTTTTTTTGGCTGGATGAGCCACTGTCGGCCTTAGGGGCCTTTACAGAATCCGACGGGCATGAGGTGGCCGGGCGCTCGGGGCGCCTAGCCTGAACCTCGGCGTAAAGTAGGAGTGTGACACTTCTGCGTTTTGTCTGGCGAGTGAGGTGGCCGATTTATTAAAGGTGGGAACGCATTTGCAACTACTGCCCTACGGGAGTTGCAAATGTCCGTGGGCGACGGTTATCATTTAACATCAAGTTAACCTTGCTCGTTTGTTACAATCTCACTTTAAAAAAAACACGATAATTTAACATAATGAAAACAAAAAATAATATTGAATAATTTTTATGCTGCCCACAGCGAAGGTGTTTCCCATTAAGGACGTGTTTACGAATTGACGCGCTTCAATTTTAAGTACAGAGGCGTACTACTACACGTGCACGGCTCACGCACACAGCGATAAGCGCGAAGCGGCGAAATGTTACGTAATTGACGCAACTTGATACTTTTATTTAATTTGCAATCATTTATTTTTTTAAGCTTACGTTAAATTGTTTTTAACAAGTTTTTAAAGCGATTTTTTATATATTTAGATATAATTTATTTCATTTCATGTCAAAGTATCTAGTTGTTGATAGTATGCGTTTTAATTAATTATGTATCTAATTTAATTTTATGCTTTTAATTAAATGTTATGAATTAAAATAAGCTTGTTTTATACATGTTTGATAATGCGTACAAATCGGTAGGTAGATAGCTTGATAGGTAGGTACGTAGGAAGGTAGCAATATAGGAGGATAATTTAGGTAGGGTCAGTAAATAGTCCAACCCGCCAACGAATTGAGTAAAATACTTTGTATGGTATTCTGATGATTCAATAACATTCATGCTAAATGTTAAAAAAATAATTTTCTGAAAATGAATTGGAAATAGCATGGCGTACGAAGCCGGGCTAGTATCTAAGAACCAAAAATGAAATAATAAAACGGAGGCAAAAAAACTAGTAAAAAATTAAAATATTGTTTCATTTTTAAATTTGACTCTACCATGCGCTTCGCCAGAACTGACGGTATGTCGCCCCTGAGGTCGCCGCGAGGTTCTGGCGTCGCTTTTTTATGTTCACTCTAGGGAAGACAAGACCGCACGGAGTCGGGTTGCTCTGTGTCGAATCTTTGTGATTTTTCTTTATAGTTCTCATTCTTTTTTTTGTTTGCTATAATGAAGTAGTAGCCTGGAATTTTACCCATAAGTTTTT